TTTTCACAAGGCAGAATACATTAACATATAATCATGAAACATTCTATTTGACTGTAAGCATGATGTGGGTTATTAAACAGGTTCAAAAGTTGGTGAAGATGGGGTTTCCAGAGAGCAAGGTGCGAACTGCATTAGAAAACTGTGGAGGAGATGAAAACTTGGCTCTAGAAAAGTTCTGCTGAAATGGAAAGCTTCTAAATGTATTATGGGAACATGTGAAAAGTTGCTCGAACTTTCTTATATATGAAGATGCTTTAAATGTTATTAGTTGTTTTGAAATTATGTAGAATAGCTTTTGTTTATCCCCACCTAGATTGCAACTCCACCGCAAAATTGAGTGGCATATGATAAGATACTCTAAATGTTATTGGTTATTTTCAATATATTGGAGAGAATGTTATTGATGTTCAAATTATTTGCCTTGAAAAACATTTTGTGCGCATTCATCACTTGGTACCTTTGTAACCAACATTGTTTTTCTGGTTGAATTATAACTGAGGATGTGTGTGTGAGAGTGAAAGCCTTATACATATGCTTTTTATGTTATTTTATTTTTTCTTTTTTGTGTACAATTTGGATAATTTGGAGTGCTTTTTCAGTCTTATACACATGCTATAATCACAAAAGTTGTGAACCCACATGCACTCGCTTGAATTATACTTTTGAGAGAACATCACTCTTACTGTTAAGCTAGGGCTTAAAAGTGTGTTTGTGTGGACAATTTGGAGTGAGCATTTTTCCACCCCAATTGCCTGATCAATACATTTGTAATATAATGTTTTAGAAGAAGCAGTACTCCACTAGCTGAGATCTTGCCTAGAATCTCTCTCTCGCCCTCACTCTCTATCTCTCGCTCTCAAAAGTTTGTACATGAACTCAGGCCCGAACAGTTGTGACAATCCCAAACTCTATACCTCACCAAAGCTACAAATAAATAATGAAAACAGGTATTCCAAAAAACAACAATAAGCAAATCATGGAAGTAAGGGATATGTAAATGATGGCAGCAGTATACACTCATCGCTATTGAAGTAAATCTTTTGTGGGAACGCCCAACCTTGTTTGAAAGTGAATGTTTGTTTAATCTGGGACTCCTTGGTTCTCACTAGGGAGACTTGAAGTTAATGAAAAGGGACCAGGTAATTTGTTACTTGAAGCCATGTCATTGCTTGTGTGGTATCACCAAATACTGTTTCTTGTCACTTTGTAGGTCTATCTGGCGTTTTCACCATTCAAACCACTTAAGAATATATGATTTGTGTGTGTGTGAGAGAGAGAGAGAGAGAGAGATTCAAACCACTTAAGAATATATGATACTTGAAAAGAGAGATTCAAACCATTTAAAAATATCTGAATTGAACATTAATATACAAATAAACTAAATTGAACATTGTTCTTTCATAAAAAATAGAGAACGATAAGTGTATACAATTATAAATATATAGATACCATAAAGCATATACCCATTCTTTTTACAAAAAATAGGAGAGCAAACATAAATATCATAAATAAAATTACACATATGAGAATAATTTTTTGAAGGTCTGCTTTCTCATGGACCATAGCAACAGATTTGCACTTCTCTTTTTCAGATAAAGATGCATTTACTCCATCAGCAACACAAGCATCTGACTTCTGAGACACGAACCTTTGAACCACAGGTTTCCTATCTTCACCTAGAATTTCATCACACCATTCTAGATAGCCGCATCCAGTATCATTCTGGTGATTAATATGATAAGATAAATGAGTGTTAGATATATGCTTACAAATGAATACCAATATACTTCTACATTATATCAACGAATAAATCACATACCTTCCAATTAGACCATTTATAAAAATGCCTATTGTAGTTATCATGTGTCTTTGCTATAAACACACGCATCCGACCATATCCTGGTTTGCGTTTACAAATCCTTGGAGCGAATTGGTTGTCGAGATCCATTCTATAAAGAAGTCATAATGAATATATTAAAAAAATCATCACAAACATTCTTAATCCATTTATCTAAGATGGTTAACAATGGGTAACGAACTTAATAGATATAATTAAATTCATCAGGAAGAAGGAAAGACTAAGAAAATGAGTGTAAGACACGAAATAAAAACAAACCTCGAAATTAATGAATAAGGGTTCCACAGTGCCTCAATTGGTTCTCGAAGAATATCAACGAGTATATGTTATGCCTATCTCCAAACCATTAAATTTTCTAGAAAGTAAACAATAAATAACAACATTCACACAGATGTTCTCCATAAAAAACCACAATCAATACAAAAATATTGATAAAAGTAAAACTTTTGGTGTTTTTTGTGGGACTTCTTACCTTTAGTTGTTATAAAAACAGCTATTGTTAGGGAGACAAAGGGGACTAGAAGATAGTAAGAAGAATCAAATAGGATGAGGTGAATTCAAGCAAACACGAAATGTCCCAAAATCTAAATGTTGGTACAATGTAGGAGATATGGTGTCAATAAAAGAAGAACAACAGCCTTGTTCAGTAGGCCAATATCTTCCTGTTGTCTTGATGGAGGTGGAAGCTATCAGCTTATCAGAAACTGTGGCTTGGAAGATTGCTTACAGCACAAAATCGGGAAACTCTGATGATTATTGCCATTTTCAACTTTCAACTGCATTCCTTAAGGTACCACATGAGAATGATACAATACGAGTCAAGAAATGGGGGGTTTCTCTTTCCCTGAAAAAAGGAAATTCTTTTGGAATGATGGCTGGGCGGAAAATTCCTGGATTAGGAATTTTTGTGGGTTGGTCTCTGGCAACCTGCAAAGCCATGTAAAAGGTTAATAGAAATGAATGGGGCATCAGAGGGTAACTCTTCTAATTTCACACACGCTTAACTGCGTGATCACCCTCATAGTCAGTGCCTATGAATGTGAGAGTGGAGCAGTAGAACTTCAGAATATCTGCCCTTTACTCTTGTGTGGTTCATTAATTTTGAAACCCCCTAAATGTAATGAGTCAGAATATCTTGTAGAGCAATTCATATTTGAATTCTCTTTTGAAATATGGGCTACCTGATCAGATTAGAATCAGACATAACAATCAATAGTCAGATTTGAAATTGTCACTGAAGTCGCTTTTGTTGTTTCTGTAAATTTCACAAACGCAAGTACCCTTTCAAACCCCATAAAAAAAACTCACAATTGAATCCAACCTGTTTGTTTCTCCATATTGTGGAGCACATGTGTAACTTTCCCAAACACAATGCTTTTTGCTAACTTTTTCGTATTTCAATAATATCAAATATGTCAAATGCATGAAAAACAAAAGCACTATAATAACAGTAATGAGGAAAATAAAAAACAAGGCTTATCATAACAAGGCTCATAGAAGTGACCCCGTCAATGGTTTGTTGAACTCAACAAGTTTGACTCAGACATAACAATCAATAGTCATATTAGAAATTGACACTGAAATCACTTTTCTTGTTTTTGTAAATTTCATAAACGCAAGTACCCTTTCAAACCCCAAAAAAAATTCATAATTGAATCCAACCTGTTTCTTTCTCCATATCGTGGAGCACATGTTGGACTTTTCCAAACACAATGCTTTTTGTTAACCTTTTCGTATTTCAACAATAACAAATATATCAAATGCATGAAAAACAAAAGCACTATTGAAAAAAGTGGTCTATGCAAGAGATTTACAAACTGAGAAAGAAAAAATTTAATTATACAATATCTAACCAAGTTACTTGCCCTGCACTCACAAATATACAATCACACCAATTCATTGTGCTTGTGTATGCTAAATATAACACAACCTTCTCCATAATAGGTATATAATAGGTATAATAAGTCGCTTTGTTATAGATCTACTCGATCTACACTATTTTTTAATTTTAAAATTTATAATGAGGGTGAATATGGATTATCAAGGCCTCATATGGTTCCGATACCATAACTATATCTTTTGGCTTTATAATGAGGGCTGAATATGGATTTTCAAGCTCTTGTATGGTTTTTGACACCATAACTATATCTTTTGGCAAAATTAAGATGTACGCTATGCTTTTATAGATATGCTAGATTTGCATTATTTTTTAATTTAAAATTTTATAATGAGGGTTGAATATGGATTTTAAGCTCTCATATGGTTTCTGACACCATAACTATATCTTTTGGTTGTATAATGAGGGCTGAGCATGGACTTTCAAACCCTTATACGGTTTCCAAAACCAAACTATATCTGGTGACAAAATTTAGAGGTACGCTATACTTTTATAGAAATATATCTTGTGACAAAATTTAGAGATACACTATAATTTTAGAGGATAAGGTGGGCACTGTACACAAACATTTTTTTTTGAGTAATTCAATGTGGAGGACAGGCTTTACCCACAACGTGTAATTGAAGTATAAAGTGTGCTACCACCACGACCTCAATCCCTTTCCTGCACTATGTACAATCCCACCCATAAAATATTGCATATATCTTGTAAAGAACAAAAAAACTATGTTTTTTGAAAATTTTGAAAGAATTTCATTGACAATCAAGGGTGAAATCAACAAAATATTTAGCCAATCAATGAATTAGGGTGGAGAAAGGGTGGAAATTAGATAGAAAATCTCGCCCTAAAATGATCTAATCATGAAATTTATCATTCAGAACGAGGTTAATACAGCAAAAAATCGAATCAAAACAATAGAAAAAGGACAGAAAAAGAAAAGTCATAAATTGCAGCATGAACAATGAATCGTCTAAATCTAGGAGGGACTTGGATCGATTACCATCAGATCCCAAAATTTCAAATCCAGGATGTCCGCCAAGTACGGTTCTTTAGGTATAGTACTTGCGAGAGTAATCCTACAGTACGATCCGTGTGAATACACTACAGTGAATGGACAATATGCTCCAGCCGGAGCATGTAATCACCATGTTCCCGCCAATTGTTTCCCGCCAATGCATCCACTGATCCACACCGTCCGATATATTCTCCCTTCCCTTCCAAAAACCCCTTCTGTCTCTGTAACCCTCAGCCCGCCAGTTTCCTCTTTTCAAAGTGATACTCTTCTGTCTCAGAGTGCATTTCCCCTAATTTTCTCTCTGCCTCTTGACATCCAGAAGAAAGAAGCAAAGCAGAGAGAAAACTATGTCAGGTTGGGACGAGGGTGCAGTATTTTACAGTGACCAAGCCCAGTTTCCGAGAGGTGACCCCGATCATGGCTCCGTCACTCGCCACTCTGCTCTCAGAAAGTTCAAAGAGTTCATTCGAGGCTTCACCGGCCTCAAGGGTGACTTCCCTTACAGGTTACGCCTCGATGCTCGGTTACTTTTTTTCTTTTTTTTTTCTGCTTTTTTAGGGTTTCAGTTTCAATATTAGATCCATCTGGCTTACGGAAACGATAAATGTTATAGTCCATGTGCTTTCCTCTCAGAGAAATGCTTGTCCACAATTCAAACTATCTTCCTGTGGCCATGGAAGATTTGGACTCTTTTGATGCGGAACTCTCTGATAAAATACGCAAGCTCCCTGCTGATTATTTGCCACTGGTAAGCACAACTGTCTGCATTGAAAAATTGAGAACATTAGGTTTTTTTTTGGTTTGGATAGACAATGTTTGCTCTTGTTTTATTTGTGTGGCAGTTTGAAACAGCAGCTGCAGAGGTGCTTGCTAGTTTGCGATTGAAAGTGGACGGCCAAACAGAGGACTCCGTAACTGAGGAGGTGCAGGTCTTGCTTTCTTCGAAGGAGAATCCTATCTCAATGAGATCACTAGGGGTCAGTGTACATTACTTCAGTTCTCTCTCTAGAAACACTGTGGTTTGCTGGACTGCTTTATTGGGGTTTTCCTGAATTCATGATGTGATTATAAAGGAGCATCTTGATATTTTTTTTATTTTCCTCCTGAAAAACCTATGGTGGGGCCTTTCTTGTTGGTTTTATTTTTATCTATTTAATCAAGGATGGGGTTTGTATAGGGCTTAGGCTCTAAACAATCAAATTAGAGCCTACCTTCAAATAGTGTCGAGAAATGTGGTTTCAATATTGGAAATCTTTGTGATAACCTTAAAATATATTTTTATGTTTATTTATAGAATTTAAAGCTTCAAAAATAGTGTAGATCAACATATCTATGAAAACTTAAAAATCTTGAAAATTGACGGTCCAAAAGTGCGTTACAAAATAAACTATTTCCAAAACTTGGAATCCATTTTTTTCTCATGTCCATACTTCTTAATGTCGAGATGATCAATTTGAAGATATTTGGGCATCAAAACAACCTCTTCTAGTGAAAATTTTGAGGTAGGCTCAAATTTGATTGTTCAGAGCCTCGGCTCTATATAAACTTTTCCCTTTAATCAATGATATGACTTGTGAATAAAGAGTATCATGGGTGTTGCTTTGCTTTTGATTAGGCTGAGTATATATCGAAGCTTGTGAAGATTTCTGGGATCACTATTGCAGCTTCTCGAACAAAGGCTAAAGCTACTTATGTAACACTGATGTGTAGAAACTGTAAGAATGTAAAGTCTATACCATGTAGGCCAGGACTTGGTGGTGCCATCGTGCCCCGTTCTTGTGACCATGTCGCTCAGGTGATATGTTTTTTAACTTTCCTATTTTTATTATATCCATCTGCATAAATTTCCATCAATTTCATTTTTTATTTTTTAATTCTTTTACTAGCATTTTGGGTTCTTTTAGTTGAGTTGTAGCCTCTGCTTTTTTTGTATTTATGCAATTGGAAGAGCTTTTAATAAACACATTGTTGTTCCAAAGATTTCTTGCCAGACCTATATCACAGATATGCCCATCGATATAGGTTTTGACTTGAGTGCATTCAGCTTTATGTGTTTTCTGATGCTTTTATAACATTTGAGTATTGAAGCCTGGAGAGGAGCCTTGCCCTGTAGATCCATGGATCATGGTCCCAGACAAGAGCAAGTATGTTGATCAACAGACTTTGAAGTTGCAGGAGAACCCTGAAGTGAGTAATATTCTGAGATCTTCCAAGTTGAGTCTGTAATTTTGTTAGGTTTGAAAGTTAAATATCTTCCCTTGAATTTATTAAAATTCCACATGAGAATGAAAATATACATCCCAATGCATCCAAGGATGGAACAAATATTGTTCAGCCCATGGGGTAGTCTTTTCTGAAACATTTTTCTCTCCAACCGTTCCAAAATTTTAAACCCTTTTATACTTGCCTCAAAAATTGCAAATTTCCGACCATGTAATCAGAGACAATTCCTGGTTGTTGATTTACTCACTCATAACTGAACCATTAATGTGTTTGATTACTTAGTGGACTTGGTATTCTTTAAGCCTGTTCAGGAAATAGTAGATAAGACTTGTTCGATATTTGG